CAATTTGAAAATGCAATAACAAATCATTAGATTTAATTGAATATCTTTCATCATGGATTTGTGAGTGATTTTCAATTTCGTTTTAGTTTTTCAAAACAAATATGAATTCAATGGAAAATGCAGTGGAAATGAGTTTTCCCAAAAGTGAATAGTGTGCGGTAATACTATGTTTCACATTCGGTGCATTGTGTTTTAGGATTTTGTAAGTGTTTCACGGATAAAAAAAAAGGATCAGAAATCCAATTCAATTGATTTGAATATACAATTTATTCTGTTCTCTTGGTCTTGACAGTAAGACCAACTCGTGGGCGTGTTTTGGTGTGTGTGTGTGTGTTTTGTGTAATTCTGAATAAATTATTACGTAATTTAAATTTATGAAGCTACAAATGAAGCACCTGTTCTAGAATTGATATCATCCAAAGCGAACGCCTCCAATCCATCTGCCATAATTGGAAGACATCATCAGCAGCAGCGTCAGCATCGGCATCAGCGAGAACAAGATGCTTTGTGATGATGATTTTATTTGTTTAGTAAGTCCCCCAATTGGGAATGTGTGAATGATTGTAAAATCAAAAAAATTTAAACAAATTTAGCAACGGCAAGAATGGGGATAACGACAATTGTTCGCGTATAGGCAGTGTTAAAAAAGTCAAAATGTGTTATAATAAATAACGACGGACATATTAAACAAATACAAATGGACGACGAATAATTCATTTTCAATAAGGAGAAGTGTTAATTTCTAAAATATGTCTTCGAGCAAGTTTTACTTAAATGGCAATATAGTTACAGTTATTCCATTGAATGGGCGATATTTTTTTTTTATGTTGATGCTAAAAGAATTGCTCTATTTTAAAATGTTATTTGTCTGAGTTCCAATCTTAGTTAGATGCCTTAAACGTCTTAAAAACAATTCGAAAATATCAGTGGGTCTTTGCCATGAGATGTATACCCTCAAACTATATCCATTTATTTTAATATATTATTATTCAAAATGTTGACCCTTTATGGAGGAGGTACCAAAGGGGTGAACCAATATTGTCCATTCGCATCTAACCTAAGTCTGTCAAAAATATTACAAGGTGACAGGTTTGGGCTGTAACGACTTCTTCCTCCCCTTTTTATAAGATATGTGTATATGTTTTTACACCCTCCACCTTGGAATTTGTCATTCCGTTTGTAACACCTCTAATTATTCGCCGTAGACCCCATAAAGTATATATATATTTATGATCAGCATATATTTCTAAGACGATTTAACGATGTCTGTCCGTTGAAGTCACGATACCAACCACATTATTTGACGTGGAGCTTTGAAATGTTACGCAATAGTTTGTATTGTTTCTAGGATGGTTGGCGCACATACAACGGTACCTTCTGATAATCGGTATTTTCATGATTTTGGGCCAATTTTTGCACGGACTTATTCCAAATTTGGTATGAACAGTTTGCAACGGGTTTTACCTCCTGTAGCTGAGCATTTGATATGTATACCCAATGCCCCTACCAGTATAATGGTATCTCTCAATATTCGGTATTCTGATCATTTAGGGTTCTGCGACAGATGTCAAAACATTGTCAATATTCGTTCAAGGTTTCCATATAACAGTGCCCACCGATATTCGGTATTTTGATGGTTCTAGCCGCCCTTTTCCAAGGTGTTTATAATTTGGTAGTAGAAAATGGTTGAAATATGTTCCCGGTCTGGTATGGGCCCCATATAACGGCCCCACCCACATTATTATAGTTTAAAACTCTAACTGCATTCTTCAACCGATCTCACTAGTATTTGAATATTAAAAGGGAATACGTTTGAATCCAGCTACTTTTTCAAAAAGGTTTTTTTCCTAATGGTGGAGAGTATTAAAAGTTCGGCTTAATGCTTCTTTACTTGTTTTATTGAAAATTGTTGAAATGTTGTGGGGGTGGTAGAAGAAATATTGGACTGATGTATTTTCACACTGTAAAAATATTGCGATGTGCAAAGCTGGAAGAAAATCGAACATCTAATTCTATATTTATGCGAATTGTTGTTAATCAAAATTGTAACCTTTTGTGGGTAGGTACCAGAAAAGTGAACCGATATATCCCATATTTACATTACAAATAAAATAAAATCTCTAAACTTATTCGCATGTACAAAGGCTATCTATAACTATTCAAAATGCCGATAAATTTAATTTTCTCATCAGATCTCTGATTGGTAAAAATATTGCGTTATATATAAATTTGGTTCGGATGTTATTAAAGTTATAATTATTCAAAATGTTGACCCTTTGTGGGGGAGGTTCCTGAAGAAGTGGACCGATATATCCTATCTATACACTAGATCTTGTGTTTAGGTTGAGTCAATTTACAAGGTTCTCATTTTACGTTTTGTGAACGTCATGGTTATTCAAAATATTTGACCCACTGTGGTGAAGGTACCAGAAGGTGTGGACCGATATTTCCAATTTTCACTTTTAATTTGGCTCACATGCAAACATTAGGATTTACAAGGTTTAAACAAAATTGGATAATATTTTCTCTTTGTGTGAGGTAATTTATGTTCTATTAAAATTTTGACTTTTTGTACAGGAAGAGTGAGGTTAGAAAAGAGGTGAGGTACCAGAAGAGTGGACCGATATTGCCCATCTCCTAACATGATCTAAGTTTAATAATAATAATATTATGATGTACCAAGTTTGAATGAATTAGATACTTCCTTTGAGAATTATTGTGCGTTCCAGCCAGTCAGACGGACGGACGGACATCTCTAGATCGACTGAAATGGATTTGGTGCACGTTTTGGCCGTTTAAAATGTTATTACCCCCCGGTATTCATATAGCTGAGGGTATAACAATTAAAAAACAAACCTTTTGTCTTACCTGAGGAATTTATTGAAATTTGATGTCGCACATTAAAATATTCATTAAGGATACAAAAATTCAGAAAAAAAAAAACTCAAATCACTTTCAGCCGTTAAATGACAGAAGTGACACTTCATTTGGCTTTGAGTTTGGCGTGAGAACATTTCTAAAATAAAGGCGATTTAGAAAATAAATATTCGCACATATGAAAAAAAAATAATTTTGTCCTTAAAATATGTCTGACATTGAAATCATAAAAACAAGCTTGTTCTAAAGCAGATATTTCAAATGCTTTAATGACTTCATAGATGTTTATCTTAATTGCCGTTTATTCACCCGCCATTGTTGGAGAGGTTGCATAGGTTTTGGACACATTTTTTGCATATCATCATAGAACACGATTAAGCTATTCATTCCAACACTTTTTTCGGTGTAGTACTCGTTTGGAACCGATAATAAATCTTTTCAAATGATGTTGTTATTCGGTGACAGCAATTAATGAGACATCAGCGAAGCAGCAAGAACTACAAAACAACAACAAAAGGAAACACATACAATTACATTTAATGGAATTAAAGCATTAAATAACAGAGATTATGAAACTCTTAGCGGCTTGATCGACTTGATGTGTGACCCAACCACCGGTGAGCAAGTCGTGTGTTAGCACGTTTCTATTACGGAAATTTCGTTCGGGTTTTTTCTTTCAAAAATGAAATGCCGTTGCCATGTCTTCCACAATTAACATGCACGGCTAAATAGGGGAGTAATTGTTACTCGTTATCGAATATCTGAGACTATCTGGACTTCAAACCAAGCGCAACAATGTTCTGGCCCCGTCACTCACTCCCTTGATTTATCGCCGTACTCCATATTTGAAATAGCTATTCTTAACAGAAAACACAAACAGACAAACAACTTCTTTTGTTGTGTAAACAAATTATCTGATTGGAATAACAATTTTGGCCGAATGTGTTTGCCAAACGAATTATGAGTCTATCTGCCAACATTTCGCAACAATGGTCAAAGAAGATAGCTATCTATTCGAAAGCCAGCACTCTTTCCCATAACTTTTGTTCATTAAATATTAGAAAGAAAACGCAGTTGGTTCCGCTCATTTTTTTATTTCGTTTTTTTTTTCTTTTTTTTTTGGATATTCAATCAAAAATTCATAGTTTATTCTTTGGCAATTTTTTTTTGCATGATTGTAACCCGCTTTCGCGAATCATTTGTTGGTGTTGGCATTTTTTCGGTTTCGTTTTTTAATAACAAAGGAGACCTTAAAAATCATTGAAGTTGAAATAATAAATTTTCGCAAACCAAACAACGAAATAAATAGATAAGTAATTGTTCGTTCAAATAGCTTTGATGTGTTGTGTTTTCTTGCCATTTGGAAACGCTTAATGTGCTGGGCTCAGGTAATGGTTTCACGCTCGCACACACACACATACATGACTTCCAATAGTCATTGCGGTCGAAAATAGATCCAAAACTATTTTTATTTACCTCTAACAGTAAATATTTGAAATCGCTTGTAATGCCAGTTCCCATTCGAAACATGACCTTGACAATTTATGACAGTTTCCTATTTTCGGAATTCCTCGTTGTAGGGCACTTTCAGCTTGAGTTCAGTAGCTCCCCGAAGGAAACATTGATTGAATGCAACGGTTTGAGTTGTAGATTAAAAAAAAAAGAAAAACCATCGAAATAAAGTCGGTGATGGGCAGGTGGGAATGCGCGGCGCAAAACCGTTAAGTCTAGCCAAGCGTAAACATGTAGTGCACCAGCATATCTTACATTAATTCGCTCATAACAGAGTTAACTGCTTTAATTGGCCATAATTTAATTGGAAAGTTTTACTTTTCTGTTTTGCTTGGTTCGTTCGTTTGTTTGCGGTTATTTGTTATTCATAGGCAGCGAATACAATTCGCACATCTTGGCAAGGGTGTTGTTCACAGGCCCAGCAAGAATGGAAATCCACAAGTGGTGAACTCATGGATCTGTTCTTTTTTCTAATTCACTGAATTAATATGACATAATGACAGAGATTTATGAAAACCCAACTCTGTCGAAACATACAACCTTAGGATATAAGCCGTTAGTTTCAAATTGCACATGCTTCAACAATTTCCTCTTTTCCCCCTTCTTTACAGTGGTCGCTACAAAATACCAGCAATCCCGGTTCGAATGTGCCACAAGGCAATCAAAATGTATGGTCATGCCCAACCAGTGGTGGGGGACCGGCAAAACCCGATCCCTTCGAAATGCTATTCGGCAGCAACAGCCACACGAGTACAACGTCCAACAGTGCCCAACTGGACTCGGGCATCATTTCACCCCAAAGTCAAAGCCATCACGATGAACTGATCGATATCAACAATGACGAGCTGTGTCGCCGTCTGGGTGATCTACTCAAGAAGACCACGCTCGATGATGAGGAGAAACACTGTTTGCAACAGGTTCTCAATTTGGTGCAGCAGTTGGATGCCCTGACGCCGCGCAGTGGTCCCTGTTCCCTGCTGGCCAATTCGTCCAGCGAAGAGGCCAGTAGCATGGATGGTTTGGTGAGATTCATACACTTGACTTCATTCATTCATTTGACATTTGTTTAACTTCCATTCGAACAATAATCGTTTATTTAAAAAATCAATAATAATTTGATAATTATTTCTTTTTTAATTTTTAACAAATTTTAGGTTAAAACGCGCATTTCCGAATTCAGCAGCACATCGTCATCGCCATTGTCCAGCATTCGTTCGAACAGCGATAAGAGTTCCACAGCGTCAGCCACAAAATCTTCGACATCAAGTCCTGCAACGCCTCGCATTGTCGCCACCGTCCAGCCGTACAACAGCCAACAGATTGTGCCGCACAACACCCCCACAGACTCGCCTCGCAAAGTCCGAGCCCAGCACCAGTACAGCAATAGTCTGAGTGAGAGCGGCGTGTTCGTAGAATCCGATTTCCTGAGCGAATCGGGCGAGAACACGGTCTGCACGCAAACCGATTTCGAGGACGCCTCGACATTCAACAATTATCTGAGCACACCGACCAAAACAGTACCTGCCCTCACAAGCCACCACCATTTGCTGCAACAGTTTCAACACCCACCACCATCCTCCCCCAACCTCAGTGAACAAAAGCGCCTGCAATACTACAAAGAACGCCTGGAAGCTCTCGAGGGCAAAGTCCTCATCTACGAGAGTTCGGGCGACGTTCAAGCCAAACGCTTGGCCGAGCGACTGCAGCGTGAAATTCTGCTCGAGAAAGAGGTCAAAGAGTTGCGAGATCGCGTCGAGTTCTTGGAAAGCGAAAACTGCACACTCGAGGAGGAAAAGTGTGAGTTCGAGGAAGCGGAGAATGATACCAGACTTCGCCTGCAGAGGTTAGAAATCGAATTGGAGATTCTCAGCCAACGCAACGTTGAGCTGGAAATGTCCAGAGAGGCCCTCAGTGCCAAGTACAAAGACTGTCACTCGGAGTGCATGATTCTGCGAGACGATATAGCCACCAGCGAAACTCACATTCGCCACCTGGAGGAGGACAAACAAAAGGCCAAAGAAAATTTCGAATTTTTACACAACATTTTGCCAGTGTTGTTGGTGTACAACACCGCCTGTACCTTGACACAGGCTCAGGGACAAATCCCCCCGCCTCCACCACTGACAGCCACAGAACAGGGAACACCAACAAAGGGCATGGGTAATCAGGTGGTCACAAGTCCAAAGGCCAGTCGTCGTTCGCCTTGTGTCGAAATGATGACCAGAGAACAGAGCCGCTCCCCCGACTGTCACGAGCGTGAAATTCACTATCTGAAGGAGGAGATCAAATGTCTTCGCCATCAAATCAAGGAATTGAATAGTCGCCACTATGCCGCCATGGAATCAGCCGATTCCCATTGGGTGGATCTCGAACGGGAGTACAAAGAACGTGAGGAACAGTTCCGTTCCAAGGAGCTATCCCTGAAACAGAAAATACAAAAATTGCAAGACTGTTTGCGCGAAGATGCTCGCTCGGCCAATGAGAAGATTTGCCAACTTGAGGAGACCGAACAGGGCCTTAAGACCTGTCTGGTGAAAGTGTCAAAAGAACACCAAAAACTGGTCGAGGAACACAAGGGCTTGGTCAGCGAGTTCGAGCGTCTCAAAGAACAACACGAGCAACTGAAGGAGCAACAAAAGCCCCTCACCGAAGCTCTGGATGTCGAAAAGAAACGCAACAAGAGTCTGATGGACGAACTGGCGTTCATGCGCAAGTTGCAGCATGAAACAGAGAACCAGACCAAGACCGAACTCGATGTGATGCGCAATCAAATATTCGACCTAAAGAAGGAGTACCTGCACATCGAGGTGACGAACGGTGAGCTGAGAGAAGAGGTGGCCACATTGGAGCTGCAGGTGGACACTCTGCAGAATGCCCATCGCGATTGTGAGGAAAAGCTACGCTGTCTCACCGACGAGATCCGGACCAAGGATGAGATCTGCCAAAAACTTGAAAAACGTTTGGAACGTTCAGAGGGATACAGTTTGGCCGATGAGTTGGGCGATACACCGTCCAAGCGTTTCAAGCGCGAGGACGTCAAGGATCTGCAAACAGCCAGCAAAGGTTTGGGTAATGCCTTGAGGCACATGTCTGTAAGTAGTGAGTCCCTCCCCCCAGTTGTGTGACCACAAGGTAGACATGGAGCTAATGCAACGTCTTTCTTTTCCAAATTTCAGGAATGTGAAAAAATGCTCCCCACCCAAAAACAATTTCAAACCGTGGCCCGAGATGTGAAAAAGTTGGCGGATACTCTTTTGCATGGCGATTTGAAAGATGATGAAGAGGTAAGTCATGGCAAGGCGTCAAGTATTGCTAATAATAAAGGTATCCGGAACGAGGAGTTAAGCCAAAATCAAAGATTATCCGAAACACAATTGTCTACTGAAACAATCAAAGAATCCTTTAGTCCCAAGACCTTAGAAACACCATTGCCAATGAAGTTGACAAAATCTCTTGAGGCCGTGCTCTCTGGCCAAGATCAGAGCGAAGAAGAAGAAGAAAGAAAGGCTGAGTCGAATCTAAAATCTGAAGATGTGTCATTTACAGTGGGCGTGGCTTTGGTACCACAGTTGATTGCGTCCAGAAAACCATTGCCCTTTTGTTCCAATGAAGAGAAGAAACCCATTTGTGAAGTTCCTTCAGAATTACGCAAACTTTCCCAACAACCAAACCAACCTGAAAATGTGAAAGACAGTAATCCTTTTCCGAAACGAGATAATAAGAAATTCATTTTGAAACTACGAAAGACACGCAGAAAGCATAGAAGTCTTTCGAGCCGCATCAAACGCATTGTTTCCAAAATGCAAAATGCTCGAAAATTCCGCAATAGCTCCCAATTGAAAATGTATGATTCTGAGACATTGCAACAGAGTGTGTCCTATGGAAGCTTCCATTCTCTGCAAGAGGAGTCTACCGCCTTAAGTGGGGGACATGTTGATATTGCCATTGAATGCCAAATCAGACCTGAAATGGTTGATAAAGAAACCGAAGTAGTGGTGGTGGAAAAATGTGACAATTGTGTCCAAGTCATTGAGGACTTCCTCATTTATTCAAGTGCTGAGAAATTACCACTTTCTCTAAGGCAATTTCTCGACACAATTACAACTGCTGCTCCCACAGCTAAGAGAACAATTTCTGAATGCCATCAAAATTTTTACAATTGCTGGTTGCAGGATCTTAAGTTTCGCGAAGATTTGGAATTGTTAGTGGTCTTTTCGGAAACACGTGGAAGTGGGGAAAATACCATGAATAAAATTAACCCCGCAAGTTATGAAGATTTTGTGAAGATCATGTCCTGTCTGCACATAGTGCAGGATGTATTCAAACCACATTTAAATTCGGTGGGTAGTTTTGAATGTTGTTGATATTGTTGTCCTTCTCATGTATCCTTTGGTCTCTCCTTAGAACTTCTTCCAAATAGAAGAACAGATAAATGAACAATTGATGTCTTTCCATACCAAGAACATGGAATCTCAATTCTATTGTACCGTTTATTATCCTGTCGAGAGACCAAATTCATTGGAAATTCCAAAAATTGTGGTAAACGAAGCAATCGTTTAATTTGTGATGGTCCTGATGAGGAAAGATGAATAAATTGTAATCGATACTGATTTTAATTAAATACTAAATTGTGTTGGGGATTTGGGCATAGAGAATGTCATAGAATTGTTAAGAAGGGCTAATGGTTATATCTCCCGCTCCTGCAATTTATATTTTGGACACTGGTGAGCCGAGATTATTCTGGATTTGTTGAAAATTGATCTTGAAGGTCATGAAGAGTACTAATCGGTTCTTTATACTCTATCAATGAATGTGGCTAATGGATAAAACTCGAATCCTTAAATTCGATGTGTAGATCGCTGTTCGAACTCACAGTTTACGAAGTCAAGAATGTAGTCATTGTTGTTGAGTCGAAGTTTAGCTGAGATTCGACAGTTTTGGAACTTCCAACTAAAAGAACACTAAAAGGTTTTAAATTTTAGTGTGTTTTAGGTGAATTCGAATGAAAGAATACACAAGAGTTTTTAAAAGATATTAAATGTTTTTTGTTTGAAGACTGGTTCTTACAACAATGGTTAAAAATCTTGCAGTTTGCCGGTAAAAAGTGGGATTTGGGGTAGAAGATAGGGGATTAGGGAAAAGTTAATTTTATGACATTCAACTCCCTTTTTTCCTTGAACCTCACATGGGTTACAAAAGAAAAGCCTAACTTCCAAATCCTTTTAAATTTGTTCTCTTAAAAAAAAATTGAGTACAGTATCCCGATTATCTAGCATAAATAGGGATCAACTGGTAGGTTCTGCATAATTGAAATGCACCCCTGTAAATCCAACTTTAGAACATTCTGTCAAACGTAATTCAAAAGTCATTGTTTTTCGAAAATTTTGAAAACTGAAAAGAATTTCTCAGTATTTGTTCAACTTTTTTTGTGAAATAAAATCTCTGTTTTTCTTTTGTTATCCATTCAAATCTCTTGTCGAATTTGCAAACAATAGGCTTCGTAATGAATTCCAAATCTTGTTGTACTCGCGAAACTTGTCCTCGTAATCAAATCGCCAACATGAATCAAGATTCATCGCAACAATCTTCGGAGAAAGAGGAATATTTCGATAAAGAAACTCAAAAATCTGTCGAAGATTTGGAATATCGTGAGTATGGCCATTGCAGATCTAAGGGAATAAAGGATAGAATAAGTGTTGACATGTCCAAAGTTTATGAGTGCATGGAAGATGCACACATTTTTCGCGGTTGTTTATTACAACTTGCAATTTTGAGCCAGGACCTCTTTCGCTATCTAAAACGTGATTCTAAAGGGAAAACCAAATATAAAAAGCATCGTCAAAGATTTAAGTTGAAACCAGTTAATTTTGAAATTCCTTTGGATATTCACCTACCAAAAATAAAGAAAAAGGAAAGGAACTGTGATCAAGATCCCAAAGAACAACCTATGAAGCCAGTAACCAATGAGGAAGATGACATGTTTTATTCCTGTGAATCTTTGACGGAAATTGAAATCCAAAATAGTTTACCTCCAAATTGCAGTCAGTTTTCCCCCAAATCCGAAGAAACTTTTTTATGTCAATGTAAACTCGGATGGAAGGAAGCTTTTTGTAAAATATCACAATCAGAGGGAGCCTTATGTAATACCAAACACCCATGCCGTTTGCAGGGAACTAATTCTCTAGGATCTTTGAGGGGAAGGCAAAATGAAAAGCCCTTTGAAAGTCAGACTAGCTTCAAGCATACTACTGATGATGTTAGATGTTCTACCTCCAATAAAGAAATTGAGAATGCTTTAGACATCCAAGCCCCTTTAAATCCAAACAAAGACAAAATATCCAAGGCAATGGGAGTTAAAATTCCAGAAATTTGCAACTGTGGTCGGCAGAAGCTCCAATTTGAAGATTTACAAACTGAACAACATTCCAAAGTTTCATTCTGCCAAAGAGAAAAGAAATGTGCCTGCGATTTAAGCGATCACATCTTTGCCAAATCGAAGGAGGCAATAAAATCTAAACCTCCTAAATTGTATCGCATGGCCCTGCCACAACATAAAGATGTGGCGGTATGCATCAAATGTCGCTTTGATCCCAGTCCTCTGGTTGATGAGGACGGTACGGTATTCTGTCCCGGTAATTGTGGTTGTTGTCTTTGCGCCTGGACACCCAGGGCGACTTCAAGTCTAGAGGATGTCTTAAAACACAGCAAACTGAAGGTTTGCAAATGTCGTAATCGAGGGACAATATTCGAAGATTTCGATGAGATCCAATCGATTTGTAGTCAAATTTCGTACTTTGATATCTGTCCGTGTCGTGAAAAAGTCGAAGCCAAACATTTGGAGTTGTATGGTTTTGAAATGTGGCAAGTGAATGGGCGTCTTTTACACCATCCCAGGCGGGGCGAAGAAGTTCCATTGTTGGAGGTTAGGGAATTGAAACCAGATCGACCGGGTTCCACACGTTTTTTGTCCAGCAGAATGTTTAATGAAATCTGAAAATTATTTTAATAGAAAACTAAAATAAATAAATCGGCGGGTTTTGCTAAAAGTGATATATTTAAAATGTTTTATTTAAGTCTCTTAGGTTTTTGAAATAAAATTACAGCCTTGCGGCTCTTAATTCTTCATTCAGCATTTTTTGCTAATTTTTTTTTCTTTCTTCTTCCACAGAAATCGCAGCGTCCTCCGAAACTAATTTTAACCGAAATAACGAGAATATAAATACACCACAGCAGCCTTCAAGCCCCTTCGAACAAATCCAAACACAGCCGATCTATCAATTTATGGAACAATCACCCAAGAGTTCATATCAATCTCCAATTGGTCTACCATTTGCCTACCATCATTGTTCATGTCTGCCCATTCTTGTGAATGGAGAAATCAGTTCCCCACAACGTTGTTCGGCTGGAACTGAGAGTACATGTGAAACGTCTGGCAGCTCTTCCTCTAGCAATTCCGATCATATTCCTCTCAGATTAGTTCTAAATTCAAAACGTATGCCGGCAGATATACATTTTTTTGCTCAACCTGAATGTGTAACAATACCAAGGCCACAGCGTTTGCAGCCCACTTTGCCAATGACGGAAGCCAGGGCCAGTTGTGAATATTACTCGTGTAGTTCACAAACAAGCCAACTAGAGGACACCGTGGCCTCAAATGAAAAGATTTTGAAATTATTACACCAAATGATTCATTTATTAATGGAATCTCCCGAGACGGGAAAAAACAACACTCGCAACAAAACTCAGCAGCCTAAAAACTCACACCCCAAACTGTTATCGAAGCAACCTCTAAAGGAAGTGCAAAAAGTAAATGTAGATAAATGTGATCCATGTTCGCAACTTCGAATTCTTTTGGATAAACACAAACAAGAGTCAGAGGATTCTCAATCACCCCGTTCTGATGAGGATTATTGTGAACAACATCAAAAATTGTCGAGTTCTCTCAACGACACAACAACTGAAGAAGAAAATGATTGTCATTGTCCCAATACTCCGGAAAAATCCTTATGTCCTACAAACAACAAACCACAGTCATGCCAATATTGCAATTATTTCATGACACTTTTGGCCATACAACAGGGTTTGATTATGCCTCTGGCAATTGGTCCAGATCGGTGTCCTTTGTGTTGCAATTCTAAGGACCCAAAGCATAGTTTTTCAAATGAATCTGCACTAAAAAATGATGAACTAATATTTGAGGAAACCTGCTATTCTGAAGAGCACCATATAATAGAGGAATGTACAACAGATCCTCAAAGCAATAAAATTGAACAAGATGAATTATTTGCCGAACAAAATATGGCTGCTGATGTGAAGTCAGAATTTCACGATAAGGCATCCGATGATATCGACTATAAACCTAAAGAGGAAATTGAATTTGACAAAGATGTAATTGAATCTATGCAACAACAACATGCACCCATCGCAGAGGATACTAAGCTTATTGACCCTCCAGAAATGGATCAAATTCAGGAAAAATATGAAAAACTGTTAAATGAGATAAAGCGTGACTCCAGTCTCTATCAGTATGACAATAATAACCCACATGAAAATAATTTAGAGGAAGAGAAAATACTATTGAGCCCAGACCAGAAATTTGATTTCAACATCAAAACCATTTCACCCTATACTGAAGTAAATGAACCCACAAACAATCGGACTACAACCCTTGCAAATGGTGATCATGAGTGGGAGGAAGAATACGACGAATTGGAAAAGGAAAAACGTGCTGAACGTTGTAAGAATCGAAGTCACAAAGATTTTTATGGCTGGACTGAGGCTGATGAGAAAAAAGTCACGACTCAATCTCAGCAACTGTCCTTAGAGGCTGGCAAGTTTGTAAGTCGTGTCGATGAATTAAAAAATTGTTAGAGAAACTTTTACTTAAATTCTGTATCGTTTACTTCCAGAAATGTTTCATTGACTCACTAATAATGGACTTGGAAGCCATGGACCATGCACGGTGCGTATGTAATCCAGTAAAGGTATGTTGCCTCATATTCCTTAGGAAAACATAATTTCTATGGTTAATCGTATTTGAGTTTATAAATATCTACATATGGGGAAAGTTTTTATATGACGATATGAATGTAAAAGCCATTTAAAAAATAATTTTCAAATTTTTGTTTTATTGGAAAAATGAAAGAATTGGTGTTTTTTTCTCTCGCATTCTCATTCGTATCGTCATAGGGAACAGACCCATAATTCATGAGATGTTAACTTTACCACCTTTTTTTTTGGAAAAAATTTAATTTGGAGTATCGGTTCTAACACATCTAACTCTGAGGAGACAAATATTAAACTCTTTTCTGTGTCGAGTACAAAATTTAATTTTGGTTTCAAGAATTAAGCCTTCGGAGTACTATATTTTTTTTTTTTTTTTTTTTTTTGATACCCTTGTTTTTTTTAAAAAAAAAAGCAGACTTTATCCCATTTTTTTATTTTAAGAACTAATATTTATATATATAATGAGAAAATTACATTACATTGTCAAAAGGAAAAGCTGAATAGACTACCGTTTCGGATAGATCCACCAATCCTCGCCAGTCCTCTTAGTTATTGTCTTGGGTTATTTTTGCTTTTTTGACGAAAAAAATGTGCTGTCTATAGTCTTCCCCACTTCACTCCTTCGAAAACATAGACATCTGTTTTCCACTAATAAAAACAAAAAACAACAACAATGGCATTAACCTACTTAACATTAAGCCTTCTTTTAAATGATTTAGTCGTTATTATTCGTATATTCGAAGAATAACTTTTCATCGTAAAACATTTAATAGATTCCCTTCACTTTCAGAAGCCGTGCATGCCCAAACCTTCCCTTTGTTCACGCGAAAGTTTTCCAGTCACAATTACCGAAGTTCAGGATCTTGGTGCCACATCCCTTTATATTAAGTGGACTATCCACGACTGCTGTGGTATTGCAGGATATGAGGTACGAACTTATGCTTTAAATATAAATGCCATTTTAATAACTCAATTTTTATTTTTCCCATTAGATCTATGTTGATGGCTATTTGACGAATCGCTACTACCATGGTCGACATGATGCTGCAGTTGTTACAGGCGTTGACATTACCATACCCCACAAAGTGGCACTTGTGGCCCAGTCAATGGAAGCACAGGACTCTACTTTGGAAATGATTTGCAGCTCATCCGGACAAGCCAATAAATGTAAATCTATTGCGTGGAAAAAATGCAGAACGATAATTCAATCCAACAGATCATGGATACCCAGCGTTTATCTATATGATCCTGTTCAGCCTACAATCGCATCGGGACAACTCTCCAACAAATGCAATATTTAGTCAATTAATTGTTTGGCCAAAACAAAAGGAGCTGAAGGTGTATTTGAAAAGAATTTATTATTCTCGAATATTCAGTCGCATGAATATTTGTAATTTTAAGCAATGCTAGTCAATGTTCAAGTTAAAAAGATAGAGAAAAACCCCAAATCAAAAACAAAAAGAGAAAACGAAAATCACAAATTAAAGGCAGTGCTCTTGCAAATGAACAAAGCCATGTTCAGCAGGCCCCCACTAATGAACCGTACGAATTGGAATCTCGAATACCGTATGTCACCACGGAGATGGGGACTCAGCCTTGGAACTGTTAGTTATGTTTCTTTGCTACGACGGAGACAGCGTGAGGAGATGTACAAAAAGAGGATCACAAATCAAATGGAAACCCCCTAAGAACATATATTTATAACTAAATTATATAGACTACTATCATTTCGGAAAGTGCCTTAAATTGTTGTTAATTATGGAATTTAATATTAGTAAAGAAAAGCAAAAAAAAAAACTAAACACACATTGGAGTAAATACACAGACTATTCTATTCGGTTATTAAGTTAAAAAAAATTAGTGTAAAAAAGAAAATCATCAAAAAACAAAACTTGTATCAGCTGTCTCTCTTTATATCTGACATATTTTTTATATTCTCTACAATTAGTGTGCATTTTAGTGTAAATATTTAATTGAAATCTCTGATTTTGTTTTCCTTCTACTTTTGCGAAAATGCCTGTCATCATCGATGTCAGAACAGAAAGAAATGAGTTCTTCTATGGAATTTATGAATGAATTTAATTTTAAATACTTTGACCCAAACATTTATGTAAAAACTAAGCATTTTTGTAATTAAAAGAAAAGAAAAGAAAAAAGAAAACGAAAAAAACACATATTTTACATACACACAACACCACAACTATTTAAACATTTTCATTTGTTTGTTAATTGAAAAAAAAAATATTTACTACATTTATGGAAACATTTAATAAAACTTCCAAGATTTTAATGAAATGTCGTTGTTTTCTTAGAACATAGGGATAAATTAAAAGAATTTTCCATATGTTCATGGGAAGATGTGAAGAAATGCTTGAGTTGAATTCTGTTCTCGGACAGGCATTAAAAAAAATTATTAACATAACCTAAAGTGCCGAGTCTTTGTACCAAAAGTTAAAAAACAAAAAATAGGACATAGGTGAAAATATTTAAAAATTGGCCATCATACAATAACGTCTACAGAAATGTATTTTTAATTCGGCATAAAAAAATATATTGGGACTTGTGAAAAATTAGTCTCTATGGCTTGGGGGGAAATTAATAATGTCTCTCCTTTTTTACATTACTGCTTTGTTATACCCTCCACCTTAGAAGGAGGGCAAATATTCCCAAATATTCATCGTAGACGCCATAAAGTATATACACCTAAGTCTGTTTTTACACGGTAGATTGGTTCCAGAAGAAGCCGTGTAAAACCGTGTAAAATAGACATTGATCTTATACAAAAATGGGTGATTTGTTCCTAATCTCTAAAACCTATTAAAATTAGTGAAAAACAAGAATTTTTAATTTTTTTATTTTTTTTTACCAAATACGTCTTATTGCAATGACAGTTCACAAAATATTAACACGTTTCAGTTGCTCTGACCAGTAAATTTTATTGTATGCACATAAACGGAATTCCCCTAAATTAGTGCTATTCACATTTGCTTGACCAGCTTCGGAAAAATTAAATTTGACAAAAAAAATTTAAGTACATAAAATTTCAAATCGTGCTAAATGGAATAAAATAGTGTAAAAAAATTAAAAATATTCGATTTTCAAACCGTGTTATATCAAAACCGTGTACAAAAAGACCGTGTAAAAACAGACTTAGGTGTATATCCATAATCAGCATAAAATTCTAAGTCGATTTAACGATGTCCGTCTGTCGGTTGAAATCATGATACAGCTCACATTATATGACGTAGAGCGTCAAAATTTAGCAGAACAATTTGTATTGTGTCTAGTATTGTTGGTATTGAGATATATCGGTCCACGTTTTGGTATAGTCCCCATATAACGGAACCTTCCGATATTCGGTATTTTGATGATTTTTGCCACACTTTTTTTTCGTTGATTTGTCTGAAAATTGATATTTGTAGGTTATAATGGGTTCTAGCTTCGGTGGTGAAACATTGTATGTATAGGTCCATATTTTGGTATAGCTCACATATAACGGTACCTCCCGATATTCGGTATTTTGATAATTTTTGCCACATTTCTTTGCAGATTTGTTTTAAAAATTGTTTTTTGTGGGTCCTAATGGGTTCTAGCACCGTTGGCGAAACATTGTATGTATAGGTCCACGTTTTTGTATAGCCCCATACAGCCGACCCGACATTCGGTATTTTGATGATTTTCGCCACATTTTCCCTGGGATATGTCTAAAAACTGGTATTAGTGGGTCATAATGTTTCCTTTACCCTAAGGTGGAGGGTATTAAAAGTTCGGACCAACCGAGCTTAATGTTTTTTATTTGTTTTTCCAGACAATTAAATAATCACCAAAATAACACATATGTTTATAAGTATATAATTTTTATTTTTTAATTTTATTAACAAAAAAAATCTTAATAGATAGAATTGAAGTACACATAATTGTTTGTATATCATTTTAGGTAGATAGTATTCATTCGATATGCATACTCATACGTACATAGATAATTAAAACTACAAGATGTGCTCTTACATATGTAAAAACAAATGGATTGTAATGTGTGTGTGTGTATAAGGTACACAGCTTATGTACACAAGAGGATTTGTCTTTTTCGCGTTCGTTCGTTCTTTTGTTGTCTGTATGTACATAGGGGGGGTTAGTTTCACAACCCTAACAGGGTCAGGGATTTGACAACTGTCTTTGAAATAGGTTGCAGTGGTGGTTAGACTAACATGGAATGGAATTACAAATACGAGAGAGGGTGCAGGTGCGTGTGTGTGGATGCAGGCATGTATATAACTTAAAATAGTTAACAGTAATGTGGGGAATGTGGGTGAACCATATTGTGGGACATTTCTTGTGGCAGGGGCATCTAACCAATATCCACCAAATTCGATGAAATTTACTCGCAATGGAATTTTAAATTATTTACTTGGAGAATACTTGTAATTTACACGAGGGAAGTTTCGGAATTGACTTCTATCTTCGTAGACATGGCTCACAGGTACCGGGTATTACGTAGGACGGATGGCATTCTGGACACTTGGGATTTTCACCAAACCAATGGAGATGTTCATCGGTGTCTGAACGCCTTTCGGGTATCTTCAATTGGAACGAGTTGTACACATCTGTGGCTAGGTAACCGGTACGGCCGATGTTTTCCAAAGGAAAGGCATACTCGGGCACCGACAGCTCTTTGCGTATCTGGAATATGTCTTCTGGCATAACGGGGCCACTTGTCGAAGGTGTTGGTGGGCGGGCAGTGGTAGATGCGGTGGCAACTTTTTGTCTCGTCGTGGCAATATTATTGGTCGGCTGACCAGTCTCTTTAATGGACCTGGACGCGGGCGTTCGAGATATGTCTCTGTTGTTGTTCGTTTTTGTCTGATCGATACCAAAATTGTTGATGGGAATGAAATTGCCACTGGCGCTGATGGAGTTGTAATCAATTATGGTTTCGGGGTATTCTCGGCCATCCACACCAATTGGAGCTTCTTTCTTTGGTGGTTCCAGTCCATCCGAGGGTACCTTCCATTCGTAGTAGATTGGTGGTCCCTGTGTTGTGGCCACATCGTGTTGTATGAAATCCGTCAAGGGGGGTAGTAGATGTTTGGAGGGGACATTGTCTATGGATGTTTTTGTGGTGTTGTAATTCGTTCTCGATGTGGGTCTTGGTGTGGGAGCCTTGAAACCCTGGGCAGGAGCTGGGGTCCTTATCTCTTTACTTAGCTTATCGGCATCGTAGCGATTCGAACCTCTCGTTGTTGTAGTGGTTGATGAAGAAGTGGGAGCTCTTGTAAACGGCTTGCCGACCATCGTTGTTGCCCTCGACGATGCTCTGGTTGTAAAGGGTGCTGGTGTGGTTGTGGTCTGTCGTGTCATGAATGGTGATGCTGTGGAGGCTTTGAACAGAGGTCTGACCGTGGTCGTTGCTGCTTTTGTTGGACTTGACTCCTCCAAATTGTAGATGGGATATAGCAATGGTGGCTCATAGATTTTTGAGGGAACTTTTATGTTGGGACTCAGGGTGGTCCTTGTTGTTGTTGTCGTCCTTGCGGTGGTCGTAGTTGTTGTTGTTGGCGCTCTCGTCGTTGTTGTTGTGGTGGTAGTAGTTTTTCTTTGAGTATTTTTCTGACGATTTTTGATGTTTCGATCTTCATTGGAATTAAAATCGGCCGAGGTGTTGTACCGGGTACTGTGACTGGTGCCGAGATCATCGTGTTCGTATTGCAGATGTTCATCATTGCGATTGTGAAGAGCGGCAACGCCGTTAAATTTCAGACCCTGCGAACGACTGTTGGCGGTAACGGTCCGTTGGGTGGAGGGTCTCACTGTTGTTGTACTAGACGGGCTGTAGTAACTGTTGCGACTAGTGGGCGGTCTGGCAGTGCTGGTTACGAACGTTTCTGGTATCTGAGGTTCGTAGGCAGGTGGTAAAATTAAACGACTTGGTGGTGGTATTTTCCATCTTTGCTGGCCTGCCGGTTGATTGGGTTGATTTGCAGTCGATTGCAAGGATTTCTCTTTCTTCTGGGCATCGTTGTCATAGATCTGATTCAATATGGAAGATAGCGACTGGAATTGAGAAGATGTTGGTGCATTTAAAGTGGTCGATTTGAATATGAAATGTGCTGTCATACCTTTTGATATTGATTTCTAAACGATTCGCCTGAATAGTCGGGAGCATAGGGCCGATCTAACAAATCTGGTCGAGGTGTTCGTAAATTATTTTCTTCTTCGTTAACGAACGGTTTATCCCGCTGACCTGCAAAGTAATAATGAGTTGAATAAATTGATGAAATGATTTTGTCGTTTCATCGGCTCACCTATCAGCAAATTGGCTGTGTAATCGCTTTCTGCTTTCGAACAGTTCACCATGTACCAGTGGTCGCAAATCAACATACGCTGTTGGAATAACGTTGTATTTGGACAGGAATAGCTGAATTGTCTTCCCAAGCCATCGCACATATGGTAAACCTGTTGGAACAAAGGCGACAATTTAAGAACTTCATTTGGGAGGGCAATATCTCAAAAGAGTTCATCATATCATCTGATTTGTGGAAATTACATTTTTATAGTTTTTAAATTTCAAGATTTCGAATTAAACAACTTTGGCAAAAATATCGAATTACACAACAACTGAACTTACCTGACACCCAGTCTCAATGTCTGCATAATAACCCGCCGGTCGGCCAGAACATGAAAACGATGTCTTCGCAAAGGTCCGATGAGCTCCAATTGCATTTTGGCTCTGAAAATAAAAATGACAAACGACACAGATCAAGAAGAGTAACTGCCGAGATCATTCAGTCGCAATGAATCAGAAATCATTGAATTTGGCATCGATGGTCGAATGAAGTCATAAATCAAAACTAATCTGGCCATCATCCATACAACCATCCACCTCTGCATGCCCCCATCATCGCAGTACAACAATGAACAGAGTTTTGCATAAATATTTAATTTATGAGTTGGAAGATTAATTGCTGTCAGCCAGAATGTCATTCAGTCAATTCGTTCGTTGTCCGCTAGGCATTTCAACAAGACCCCAGTTTGATGGACGTGCGCATGGGAACACTCTATCGGTGGATGGTAGTGGGAGTTTAAATTATCCCAGCCAGTGTTCATTTCTGTATTTGCATTTATTTGCATGTCGGGGAAAAAGGGCATCGCATTTGATTTACACTGTGGAAAATGTGAATACGGACAAGAGTGAAAATATGCAGTAATTTGTACATTTCTCTTTGAAAAAAGCGTTAGATGCTCTGCCTCACAGCCACTTGTACTTACATAAATTGTCCCCAGTGTAATACTAGATATGTTGCCATTCTCATGTAGCATTAGAGCAGTTGTTCTGCAGTGTAACTGTCACATTGCAAATAAAGTTAATATTTTGCCTACTTTATTGCTCTGAACATCGAGTACATCAGCGGCAGATGATATTGCAATTTTTCTTAGTTTAACATTTTATTCAACAAATGTAAGCATGTCTGTACAGAAGTATGTTTGTGGAGGATTTTCGAAATAATACAGCATCGGGTCTTGATGTTATGGCCGGTCATACATTTTCGGAAAAAATCTACAATTTCGTCCAAATGGAAGGTATTATAACATTGGACTCAATCTCAAAATAAAAGCTACTCTTCTCCGTGATGAGTTTTACTAAGTTGGAAATCTGTAGTCGGATTCCGATAAATATATACCCTCTGTCTTGACCATACAAAAGGTATGTTTTGTATTAATTACAAATTCCAAAAGTAGTAAATTTTTTTAAAACGATAATTTTTTTGGGTAGTCATTTAAAAGTATTCTTTTTCCATTGGGTCAGAAGAACCAAAAATTTATTTCAGACCCACAATTTTTTATGAGATTCTCAGGTCAGGAGAACCAAAACTATATCAGACCAACGATTTTTTTTCTAGATTCTAAAGTGTTTTAAAAATTCACGATTTTAAAGAATGCATTCCTTAAAAAATAGTATTTCAAAATTCAAACTATTTTGAAGCTTTTAAACTTTTTTAAGATTTAAAAAAAATTCAGAATTTATTTTCGCGATATCCAAAAAATATTTTGTTGATAATACTCAATTTTTGTCCGATACTCTTTTTCAAGGAAGACGTTTAGAAAATATTTATAAAAAGTTTGTATATATCTGGGAAGACCTTAACCAGGAGGTCCTTGAAAATAAATTTAAAAATTCCACGATCATTGGCCGGAAGTTTTTGAGAAATATTTTTAAAGACAATTAACACTTGACTATGAGGTCACTAAAAATATTGTTACGTTCTTGGATTTTACTTAATCCCGTGTAGACGTTGTTTTATTTCCCAATACAGCTCGTACCAAATAAAACGCGGGTTCTTTCGGATTACGATTATTACAATGATTTTATTCACACAACTTTACTTTGCACTTTACTTTACTCGACGGTTTCAATTCGCGATCTGATTCACAACTGACTAACTGCCTTTCCATTTCCCCTATTTATATGAGCCTCGCCTGTCGCTACAGAAGTTTCTAGACGATCTGGTAACGCCTAGATTACGAACAATCTACCAATGCAACGAACACATACAAACTTACATTGAGCAATAACAACAACACATATACAGGCGAGGGGGTAACAAAGAAAGAGGAATTAAGCGATCATCAATGATGACGTTTAACAAGAATTGTACGTCAGCAACAAAATAGACAATGAAAGAGGAAATGGAAGGATGTAGAAAAATCTATACAGTAGTTGTTGTTGTGAAGTTATTCAAATAAACTGCGTAGTAGAAATTTACGTTACAATTCAAATTCTTAAATTAACGGAATTCATCTAAATTAACTTAAATCTAAAGTTATATTCGTAACAATATTAACCCCCAAATATTTTTTAACATTAACGATTTTTTGGTCACAAAGTTTTTTAAAAGAATCTAAGGAAATTCTTTAAAAAAATATTGTAAAAAAATCTCTCCTATTCCAAATTTAAGAGACATATTAAAATTAGTAAATATTGAATAACATTGCTATGATGGTTTTGATTTTTTTTAGAAATTTCCCAACACCCAAATAAAAACTATCTTGACGAGTGTCAATCGAAACCATCGCACGTCCGGCAGCATGTATGTAATTATGCCGTCATAATGGCAAAGCCAAAGGCTATATCGCGCTCACAACAAAATTGCATTTAACTTCTCGCTATCAGATCACATCGATCTTGTTTTCTTGTTCGCCAGTGATGATGTCATTCCGCTTGACAATTTGCCGTAAACATGTCACACAGCGAACGAATTATTGTTATTCGCCGAGTTTCGTTTCAGATTCGAATGAGCGGTTACTTCATTTAAGGGACTCCTTGTATTACACGATGCCGCTGGCAGTGGCACGGCCTGGAAGTTGGCAATCTGGGAATCAATTTAATTTAAGCATTCATTGCAAATGTGCAACCGAATGACAATCTCGGCGAAAAGAGTAAAGTTCACAAGGCAGCAGAGACTGGGAAATTAATGGAGTCGCAACGTCCACATCTCAATGGAGCCACCAACCACCACCATACTCACGTACCTCCAATAATTCGAGTATGTTGTTCATTGTGTCATCCAGTCATAGATTTTTATCATTTGAAGGTACGTCTGCATGTGTGTGTGTGTGAGTGTGCAGAAGTCTATGGCCAATCTTGATTGACATATTAATAAGCAACTGAAAGCTGTTAATATCGCTTCTCACGTAAACAACTCCGAAAAATTGAAAAGAAAATGATTGACACATGCCCTCGCCATCATCAGCATCATCTTCGCATCGGCATCGGTACCAAAATCGGACAACACCTTGGATTGTTGCATTTTATTTCTCAAAACAAAACATACAAACGGATGTGAATTTGACCTAATTTTGTATAATTAAAGAAAACGATGGTAGGTACACATTAAATATTTAATGTTCTCGTATATTTAAGGTTTAAAGCTAATTGGAAGCTCTTAAAATGTTCCTTCTAATAATTGCCGCCTAATTGCAACAATTTGGTCTCCTGGTCACTACTATTTTTTGTTCCAATGCTGTCGCATACAAACTTGTTGCATGCAAATTTGACAGGAAGCGGGTCTGGCCTCAGGTGTGTATTTCTGTAGTTTTGCAAAGCTGTTCTACATCCTTATAGTACGATGATTGATACCTTTCTTGGTATATTCCTCATATAAATATACATTTAGACTTTTTGTATTTCAAAGAATCTACCTGTTTTAATACTAGGAGAAGATTTTCGCAAAGAACCAAAATTGAAGTTTTGACCGATTTTTGAAAAAAAAAAAAAAAAAAAAAAAATAAGTAAAAAAGTATCGGTCGGTTTTTTACCGAGAGATGTATACCCTCAGCCAATGTTCGATAATTTAAAAATATTTTGACTTCTGTTATGAATTTTCAAACTCTTGACCCTCTATGGAGTGGTTTTTGAAAGAAGAAAGGGATATTGAAATTTCATATCGGACCTAAATAAATATGATGTAAATATTATTATGAATATATAAGGAAATCGAGCATTTATATCTGATTTATGGGAAATCTTAAATTCCATATTTATCTCAGGATTCTGGCTGAGAGACTTATATTTAGATATAGCAAGTTGTAAGGAATCGCTGAGTGGTTTCGCAATTTATGACAGATAAAAGTATTGAAAATTGTGTCCCTTTGTGGGAGAGGTACCAGAAGGGATTCGCAGATATATAGCATCTTCACAACAAATCTTGTGTTAGGAAAAATGTTTGAATGTGTGAAATTTAAAGAGAGTTGGATTTTCGCTTTCTTTGAGCGTTTTGTCTTTCAAAATCTTGAACCCTATGTGGAGCAGGTAGCAAAAGAAATGATCCGATCTCTACTATCTTTATAACAGATCTTGTGTTGATGAAAATATTGAGATGTACCATGTTTGGAATGGAATCGGATGTTGATTTCGCTTTTTATGAGCTTCATGGATATTTAAAATTTGGAGCGTTTGTGAGGGAGGTACCAGAAGGAGCGGGCCGATATTTTCAACTTTCGCACCAGATCTAGCACTGACGCAAATATTAGGATTTGCAAAGTTGCAGTATAATCGGAATTTTTTGAAAAAATTTGTATTTTTTGCAATATTTCGACCCTTTGTGGGGGAGGTACCAGAAGGAGTGGACCGATATATTCAATCTTAACACCAGACCTTGGGTTAATATAAATAATGGGATGTGTGAAACTTGAAGATAATCTGACACTTACATGACATTTTATGAGAGTTGTAATTATTCAAAATTTTGACCATTTGTGGAGTGGACCGATATTTTCCATTTTCACACCTGACCTAGCACTGACGCAAATATTAGGATTTGCAAAGTTGGAGTGGACCGATATTGCCCATCTTCGAACTCGATCTAAGTTTGGCAAAAATATTACAATGTACCAAGTTTGGACCAAATCAGATACTCCCTTCGAGAGTTATTGTGCGCAATAGCCAGACAGACGGACGGACATCGCTAGATCGACTCCAAATGTTCTGAAACGGATTTGGTCCAAAGAGACCTAGGGTCTAAAACCGTTATTTCGACTAGGCACTTTTTGACCGCATCAAATGATATATACCCTCTGTAGCCATATTAAGGGTCACCCAAATATGTTGGCTAACAGAGCCTCTTATCTAACAGAATGAATTGATTTTATTCACTTGCTTTCAATGTTTTAACGACGTCACAAAAAACCTGTGTATGTATGTATCTACGTATGTTTGTGGAAATATAATTA